ATTAGGAGTCTTTACTTGTGATGCATTTTATGTATTTCTTTATTTATGTTCTAGTTTTTACCATTGTACCCCTGAGAAAGATTAGTTCGTGTAGTAGCCATGATGACTATTTATTCTTTTTGTTTTGTTCTTTGAGGCCTATATATAAAGGCCCTAGCTTTTGTATTTGATGATGACTGCTTAATGAAATTTCAGCCTTCTAATTCCTTTGAGTGTTGAGAGCTCTAGAGAGAGGTAAAGCCCCTAGGTGAGGGCAAAGCAACACCCACCAGCCGGAGGAAGTGTCCGGGCTCGTGGTCACTTTTCTTTCTCCAAATCCCCTCCCCCTTCTCCACTACATGCCAGCCAAAGACCCCAAAATTCCCCATAGCCGCCAGCCTAAGCCTCCCCAAAACCCCTTCCCTAGCCGCTGGCCCCAAGGTCCTCCTCCTCCATAGTCGCCGATCAAAGCCTCAAAACCCCCCATTGCTGCCAGCCCTAAACCCTCCCCCTCCTATAGCTGCTGGCCACCCTATTCCCCAAACCCTAGCCGCCGGTTGAACCCCAATCCCCTTGATTTCAAATTTAAATTTCCTCTTTTAAGACTTTACTAATTTAGCCCATTACTAGTTAGGAAATTTTCTTAATTCAAATTCAAATGAATTTGAATTCCAAAATCTTTCCTAATTGGCCTAAATTCTAAACCTATTTTGGAAACTCCCCTAATTGCTACCAATCTGAAATTAAATTGGATTTAATTCCAAATTCCACATTCATTGCATGCAGACACATTCATTGAATGTGGACACTCCCTTCCCTCTCTCCTTTGGCTGGCCCCCCTATTCCACTCTCTCTTAATTAATTCCTCCCCTTTTTGCTCTCAATCAAATCCCTCCTTTCATGGTGTGCCGCCCCACATATTCCCCAATTAAGGGAGATTCAAATTTCAAAATTATTCTCTCCTTTCCAATTCTAAAATCTGAAATTAAATTCCAGATTTTAATTTATTTCCCCTCCAACTTAAACTTAAAATCTGAAATTAAAGTGGCATCTCTCCTAGCCTTTGCCGACCACCCAAACCTCTCCCTCCTCTCCATCTCTTCTCCCTTGCTTCATACACCATCAAAGGAAGAAGATACACAACCCCGGCCTACTTCCCCATGAATGGCCGATCCTGAACAAGACTATGGGTTCATATACGATCATCAAGGACTAGTAGATGTGTTGAGATCACCCTTCTTTGACATCAACTTGGAGATCGACTACACCGTCGAAGATTACATGGATCAGATCCTATTCACTTTGACGACCACCATCTATGAGCATCAATCCTCCGGACAGTGGCAAGTTCTCCAACATCCACCGACTTCTTCCCCTTCAGATTTCGTTGGGCAATACTGCAGGCATCTTCTACCTTTTGGTGGCGTCATTAAGTTTGCTGAAATTAATCCTCCGCTAAATAGCTCTCAAGAGTGTGAGTGAGGGGAACTCAGAGTGAATTTTCTAATTGTTAACCGGTAAATTTCTGTTACTTGCGCATCTAGCTTTATTATAATTTTGTTGTTATTTTAAATTGCCCTTCTAATCTGATGCAACCAAAATTTCAAGGAAACTAAGATTGCATATAAAACTATTCATCTTCATTCCAAAATGACTTTAACAAACATAAAATTTGACATTACAAGCTTGAAAGAAAGGACATTACATGAAACACGATGCAATGACACCATAAAAATACGACTTTTATATTAGAACAGACAACACATACAACTCACACGACAAATACAATATTCTTAGAACATAAAAATACCTAAAAGCTTTTAATTAATTGTTTGAGAAGAAAGATACTGATGGGGTGGAACTTGCGTAGAGAAGAAATAGATTAGAAACCCTAGACAAATTTATAGATAGGGGAAGAGAAAGGGGTACATAGCTCGCAAGCCATCAAAGAAGAAACCCTTAGGGTTTCTTTCCAAAATTCATCACCGAATTCTCCTCTCAAATGTCATAAAACAACCCCTATTTATAGATGAAGAAAGGGAGCCAAGCAGCCAAACAACCGCCCACTCCTGCGAATAGAAAAGGGGGAGGCAAAAGACCAAAAGACCAACGGCTGGAGTAGCACATGAAGAGGCACGCGGGACACAACCAACGAACGGACAGCGCTAGACGGAAAGAATCGGGCTGGCAGAGGAAACGAAGAGACAAAAACAAGGGAAATGAATCCGAGCAGCACAAAAATCAGGAACAAAATTGAAAAAGGCAATAGAATCCCAACAGGCAGAGAAACCGGGAAGCCAAGGGGCAGGAGCAGAAGTCGAACAACCATCAGGGGGGCTTTGCCTACATCAATTTTCCCCTGGTTGAGAGTTCTCATCCCCTGATGAGATGGCTTTAAAACTTTCTTGACCAGTTGAAGGTGCCACATCCAATTCTTGAATCAAGACCGCTTACTTTCTCTGGATCAGTTCTTTTTCTTGCCTAAATTGGTCCTGAAGAATTTGCTTTCTCTTTTCACATTTTCTGTACACAAGTACATTTGATATTGAATTTTATACAACTTATTCTGGATGGGATTGTTAGAACTTCCTTGCGGCGGGATCCATCGGCTCTTAGGAATAGTTTCTTTAAGATCATTTGGCTTACTTTCTCAAACTTCAGACTCAATTACATCAAGATTTTCCATTTTTCTTAAAAGCTTAAAGAAAAGAAAGGAAGGCTCAACAAAAATCTAAGCTTTGATACCAAATTTATGCAACCAAAATTTCAAGGAAACTAATATTGCATATAAAACTATTCGTCTTCCTTTCAAAATAACTTTAACAAACATAAAATTTGACATTACAAGCTTGAAATAAAGGACATAACATGAAACACGATGCAATGACACCTAAAAATACGACTTTTATATTAGAACGGACAACACACACAACTCACACGACAAACATAATATTCTTAGAACATAAAAACATCTAAAATATTTTCATTGATTGTGAAGAAAGATACAAATGGGGTGGACACTTGCGGAGAGAAGAAATAGATAAGAAGTCCGAGATGAAGCTATAGAGAGGAGAAGAGAAAGGGGGACATAGCTCACAAGCTATCAAAGAAGAACCTTTAGGTTTTCTTTCTAAAAATCATCCATAATCTTACCTAAAACAGTCACAAAACAGACCTAATATATAGGTGAAGAAAGGGAACTAAATAGCCAAATAGCCGCCCACTCAAACCAATAAGACAAAGGGAGGCAAAAGATCAAAAGACAGCCGCTGGAGTAGCACACGAAGGGGCATGCGGGAAACAACCAACGAACGGACATCACCCGGGGGGGGGGGGAATCGGGACTTGCAGAGGAACCGAACAGCCAAGCAGGGAGCAGGAACTGAACAATCCAAAGCAGGGGGGTACGTCTTGCTTACATTAAATCTCCCCTGGTTGAGAGTTCTCATCTCCTGATGAGATGACTTCAGAACCTCCATGATGTACCGAGGGAGCCTTATCCAATTTTGAAATTAAGGCTGCATATTTTCTCTGAATCCTTTCTCTTTCTTGCTTCAGTTGGGCTTGAAGATGTTTCTTTCTCTTCTCGTATTTTACCGTACACTAGTACATTTTATGTTGAATTTTATAAAGCTAGGCTTTGTGTTGAAGAAGTTCCTTTTTATTTGTTATTATTAGGTTTTGTATCTTATTTATTGTGATAATTTTTGTCGTTTTTGAAAGGAAGACACAAAAACCTAGGTTCTAATACCAAATTGATGCAACCGAAATTTCAAGGAAACTAAGATTGCATATAAACCTATTCGTCTTCCTTTCAAAATGACTTTAACAAACATAAAATTTGACATTACAAGCTTGAAATAAAGGACATAACATGAAACACGATGCAATGACACCCTAAAAATATGACTTTTATATTAGAACGGACAACACATACAACTCACATGACAAACACAATATTCTTAGAACATAAAAACACCTAAAAGCTTTTAATTGATTGTTTGAGAAGAAAGATACTGATGGGGTGGAGCTTGCGGAGAGAAGAAAGAGATTAGAAGCCCGAGACAAATTTATAGAGATGGGAAGAGAAAGGGGTACATAGCTTGCAAGCTATCAAAGAAGAAACCCTCAGGTTTTCTTTCCAAAAATCATCACCAAATTCTCCTCTCAAATGTCACAAAACAACCCCTATTTATAGGTGAAGAAAGGGAGCTAAACAGCCAAAAAATTGCCCACTCCAGCCAATAGAACAGAGGGGGGCAAAAGACCAAAAAACCAACGACTGGTGCAGCACACGAAGAGGCACGCGGGAAACAACCAACAAACGGACAGCGCTAGGGGGAAAGAACCGGGCAGGCAGAGGAAATGAAGAGGCAAAAACAGGATTAATGAACCCGGGCAGAACAAAAATCAGAAAAAACTGAATAAAGGCAATAGTATCCTAGCAAGCAGGGAAACCGGGAAGCCAAGGGGCAGGAGCAGAAGTCGAACAGCCATCAGGGGGGCTTTGTCTACATCATAATCTATTTTGTAACCGCATGCCAAAGCAAAATAACAACTGAGAAATCATAGAATCTAATCTTATGAAACATTATTTTTAAAATTGGCAAGCTTAACAAAATTTTTAAATCCCTATAATTCCTTTTATGTTTCGCATGAAATTGCCTGCAAAAACAACATTCTTTTTCCTATCGGTGGCAAGAAATGTTGTATTTATTGACCTTGTTGATTAGGTGGTAAGTTAGATTTAAATAAATACAAGGTATGCATTTGCAGCAAATTGATTTAGTTTGTTTAGGCTTTATATTAGTATGAATAATGCATCTCTCCGTTCATGAACACAATGCTACTCAGGAAACTTGTCCCAAAATGTTAGGACTATATAAGTGGGACAATTATTTGTCAAAGATATAATTATCAAGGTGCTAGTTTCATGGCATTTTGTTGCTCCTTCCATTTAACATGTTCAGTTATTACAACTTGTTATCAGTATTTTATTGATACCTAACTTCATCATGCAGATTGGTTTGGTTGGTCAATTGCATCTTCTTTCATCTACTGTGACGACTTTGTCTGTGCCTTCACCTTCTTTACTTGCCACTTTGGCTCGTAAGTACTCTTTCTCAAAATCTCTTTAATTAAATATTGATTCAATTCCCTATTCTATTGGAAAAAGAAATATCACTACATTCCTTACTGAGATTTTTTAATTCTGTGCATAAAGGAGGGGGCAACAGTCCTGCACCAGCTGTTCCACTTGTTGCTTTAGGAACACAAAGTGGGACTATTGATATCATTGATGTTTCAGCCAATGCAGTTGCAGCTAGTTTCTCTGCTCACAATGGCATTATCAAGGGATTGAGATGGCTTGGGAATTCTCGCCTTGTATCGTTCTCATTTAGCCAGGTATTCGCATGCATATATATTGAGGAACATTTAAAAGGGTCGGTTGGCTATGTATGCCACGCACATCTTTTAATTGATGGGCGCTGTATGGTTATCAAGACATATGACTGACATAATTTATGTATCTTATAGGGTTGGCTTGCTCGGCTAACCCTCTTTTTTTTATCAAAAAAAAAAAAAAAAATTTCAAAAGAATCCCTCAATTGTCAAGGAGCGTTTCAAAAGTTTTTTCTGCATTTTATTTTGTGCTCTTTCATTTTGATATAAACCTCTACCTTCATGTTTTCTTAATCAAACTATTTGTTAAGCACATTTGATTTATGACAAACAATTAGTCAAAGCACTCATCTGTTAATCATTTTTGTTAACCTGCATTCCCTGATTCTTAGATGCTAACTTCTGCTCTGCAAATACACATAAATGCATGCTCATGAAATCTTGGGAACTTTCCTTCCACTTTTTCATTGAGGATTTGTTTGGGTTGAAAAAAAGTTGCATGAAATGAAATGAAATATAAGCAATTCATGGGTTGATTCTGAATCTACTATCATTTTTATTCTTTTCAATTTTTTATCTTATGTAGAAAACGAGCCTTGATATCAGTTGATGTAGAGAAATTTGTTATGATGCCAAATTGATGATAATGATCTCCTTGATCTCTTTTGTCTTCTTAAATTTACCTTAAATTTGGTAAATGTGGATCCTGAAAGTTTGCACCCCTGCTAAGAGAGTTTTAAGTATGTTCTGGGTAAATTATCATAATACATTATTTAAGATAATACATTATTTAGACATTTTTCTTTGATTTTTTGAAGACTTTATGATCTGATTTTAAGTTTCTCATAAATGCATATCCCTATATTTAATTATCACTCTTAGTAATGAGACAACTTCAGATTAAGGCTAGTCATTAGAAGCTTAATGCTTAGCATATAGTAGCAACAATTTCATATATGGTTTGAAATTTGCCACCATGAACTTAAAAGTGGATGTGATACGCCAGGGGGACCCGGATGGGGACATCAGATCATGAAAAGGATATCAGAGACGTGGCCGACGATCTACGGCCACGATCGCGCTGATCTATTTTTGATTTATCATATGTATTTGTTTTATTTGTTTGCATTATGTATTTGTTTTATTAGTATTTTTCGTTTTACCCTTAAGGGTCTTGTCATATGTAAGCCCTAGGGGCAATGTTATCTTTTGTTTTTCTTTCATGTATTGGACTATTAAGTCCCTCCTCTCCTTTGAGAGCACTAATGAAGAATTATAATGAAATTTTTGCAACTTTGTGTTTTGTGAGAGCTTTGGAGAGAAATCCCTAGGAGTGGTAAACAGATCACCCACCAACCTTAGAAGCGTCCGGGTTCATAGTTCTTTCTTCTCTCCCACCCCTCCTAGCCGTCGCTCTAGGGTTCTCTTACCCCATAGCCACCGGCCCCTCCCAAGCAAACTCTCCTCACTGCCGGCCAACAAGAACCACCACAACCTCTCCAAGCCGCCACCCACCTAATTCCATCCTCCCCTCTAGGCCGAACCCACCACCTCTACACCCAATCAACCACCCCTCTCGCAAAACACCAAACCGGAGGCCCACCTCTAACCATAGCCACCGCCCCCCCTTGAATCCCGCATCAAAGCATGCAATCAAAGCCCTTCCTAATTTGGCCTTTATATTTTAGGTAGCTCATTTAATTCATATTCAAATCTATTTGAATTTTAATTTGTTTTTTAAAATACGAAGTTCTATTTTAAGAAAGTTTCTAAATCAAATCCAGATCAATTTTGAATTGGATTGGAATTAAATTCATTTCCTTAATTTGGGTGTCCCACTTAAGTATAAATTTCCCTTCCACAAACCCCTACCCCCACCATCATACAACCGGCACCCCCCCCCCCCTCCTTGCCCCCAATTAATTACTTTCCAAACATAAAGCCTCTCCCATTGGAAAGAATTCAAGCCCTCTCACCTCTTACCCGCCCGCCACCCCCTCTCTTTCTCTCTCTAAAGTCCCCTTTAAATCCTTTCCAAATTTAGAGGATTAATTATCGAAACAATTACCTAATTTCCCTCCATCCTCCACCCTTTAAAAACTGAACTATATTTCCCCACCTCCCTCTCTAACCTAGCTAGCCTTCTCATAACCCTAACACCTCTAAAATATGAACCTAAGTTTCCCCCAAGCCCCTACCTTGGCCGGCCACCCTATCACCCCTTCTTCTACTTGGATTCCTTGGAGAAACTTCTTTCTCTCAAGGAGAATCGTCAAGGACAGCAAAGGCCGTCTCCAACAAGACTTCAACACTATGTATCCTATGCATGGCCGATCCTGAACTCGACTCCGGCTTCGTCTACAACGAACAAGGCTTCGTCGACATTCTCCGATCACCTTTCTTCAACGTTAACCTGGAGGTAGATAATTCTGTCGAGGAATACTTGGAGCGTATCATATTCACTCTTTCAGAAGCCATTGAAGAACAACTTTCTACCGTTCAGTGGCAAATCACCGTTCCGCCAAGACAAGGGTGAACTCTTTCCCCCTCTTCAATTTCATTCCTAATCTTCTTCGATTGTAGGTTGTGTATCAAGCATAAGGAATCGTGCAAAGCTATATGCCAAAGCTTAGTAAATGTAGGAAATGAGTGATGGATTTCTATGCATCCAATCTCCTTGTTAATCTAGGGATGTAATTGGACTTATGTTGAAGTTTCTAATTGTTTTGTGATCCTAATTATTATTGTGTGACTTGGCCTAAACTAAGGCACCCCTTTCTTGTTTTCCATTTTTGTTAAGTGGCTAACGTTTTAATTTTTATTGCTCTTACTTGAAAGTGTGCAAATTCTTTTATCAATCATTTAAAGCATTCATAGTTCTACATCAGACCCACATCCAGGGGAAAATATTTAGGAAAGTTCCTAATTAAGGGAAATTATTTAAGAATGTTCCTAATCAAGTGGGGAGTACTTTAGAAAAGTTTCCTAATTATGTTTATACTATTTAGGAAGTATTTAATTGTTTAGGAAGGTTTCCTAAATCATGTTTAGTTATTTAGGAAGGTTTCTTAAATTTTATGTTTATGTTGATTAGGAAGGTTCCATTTATTTAGAAAGGTTTCCTAAATTATGTTTATGCTGATTATGAAGGTTTTAATTGTGTTATTGTGTTCTAGGGCTATTGAAGGAGTAGTCGTCTAGGGTTTTAGGTTCACACTATTGATGAGTTTTGTTGGTGTTTGCTGTAGTTCTTTTCTTTGAGGGCTTTCTAGCGGCGTCTAGGTTGATTGGGAGAGCCGATCTACCTCTCGAATTGTAGATCACCTGTATCTTATTTTCTTTTATTGAAGAAATATCAACCACCGTTTTTGTTTTACTATAGTTTTTATTTTATTGTTTGCTGTTTTTACTTCCAAGGTGTATCAAATTGGTATTAGAGCGGTGTCATAGATCGAAATATCAACTTTCTTGACTGATTTCTGCCGAGGTTTTGCTCTCCGTTTGCTGAATTTTGCTGTTTGTAGGCTAGATTTGCGTCGAAGTGACCGATTTTTGCTGTTAAATCCGTGATCTGAGTACTGATGGCCAGAAGAAGAGTTGAGGCGTTGGAAGAATAAGTTGGAAGGAAAAGTAGGGCAACTATGAGCGGATGTGGGATCGATGAAGGAATGCATTTCAGTGATGGAAGGAAGGTTTGAGAATTTGGAAGATATGCTGAAGAAAATAATCGAGATGCTGTTGAAAACTTTACTGGCGATTCTTACGGCTGAACCAAAGGGGAAAGGAAATTCTGGAGGAGATGATGAGAAAACTTATAAAGATGTGATCCAAAACCCCATCTACAGTTCCAATTATTAACCCTAATCAAGATTTGATCGGGATTCCATTGGCCAAAGCAACTGGACGAGGATTCGTTGAGTGACATGTAAAGTTTGCAGAGAACTATAGGATGCACTATAGAAGTCATTTTACAAAGGGTTTGTAACTTATGCTACCGCTAATTGTTTATCAGATCTATGGAGCTACAACTACTAATTCAACAACCTTTATGCTTCTTACTGCATCCATGTGATTCCTTGTTGCCATCTATTTTTTTGCACCATTTCTTGCCATGTGATTTCTTGTAGCCGACCCCACGTAGTGGGATAAAGGCTTGATGTTGTTGTTGTTGTATTTCTTGTTAACCTTTCTAGCTTTGAGCGGAAAAAAAGTTAATGATTGGGATGACTAGAGCAAGTGGATAAAAAGTGAAGGCATTGTTAAAGATGTTAAATTGTTGAAAGATGGTATATTCTTTAGAGAGAAGCACAAGCAGATAATAAAGGATATAGAATTGGATCATGTGCTAAGTGGTTCTTACAGGAAGCAGATTTTGTTGTTAAAATAGATGATAAGTTGGCTCTTTGGGAGGGAAGTATTGATACGCCGGGGGGGGTTGTTGAAAGATGGTATATTCTTTAGAGAGAAGCACAAGCAGATAATAAAGGATATAGAATTGGATCATGTGCTAAGTGGTTCTTACAGGAAGCAGATTTTGTTGTTAAAATAGATGATAAGTTGGCTCTTTGGGAGGGAAGTATTGATACGCCGGGGGGGG